CTCTATATATATATATATATATATATATATATTTCTTTAGTAACTACTAGAAAAAATAGGATAACAGTAACGAAGATAGAAGACAATTTGAGTGGCATTTTGAAGATATATCATGAATGGAATTTTCTACTAGCATTTCATCGGTCTTCACAGCTGTTCACATAAAGCAAGGATAATGAAAAAAACAAACAAGCTATATTACAACCCAATTACACAAAGAAAGCAACACACTAACTTGTAAAATAAGACCACTCTTTGATACGGCATGACTCATCATAAGTCATCTTTAGGGTCTTGTAACCAAAGGTAACACTTGTGAGTTCAACATTAGTGAAATGTTTGTTTTTTCAGTCTAAAGCATATCTTCTCTAAGTAGAAATGATTGAACCCAATACTTAGTTCTTGCAGAATTTTAAGCAAAAAAAATATGCATGAGTAGTGTGTGAATAAGTCTAAAATCTTAAAACTGACACCAGATGGACTCAGTTCAACTGATAATGCAACTCTTTATCTCCCTAGCATACGATTGGTTGAACACTGAACTGACAGAAAGGTTATCTGACTACTAAAATCAATCTCAGCTAGTTGTATTTTATCAAAGAAAAAAAAAAGGAGGGAGGGCACAGAGTCTGAACTAGCGAAGACCTTCAGATGTCTATGCAAATATTTAAGAGACCAAGAAACCTCAGATGTCAACCCTCTATCTTACTGATAAGACTAGGACTTCTTGGTTGCTTTGGGGACCTCTTGTTTATTTACTCACTATGCTATTCACCAAGTTTATCAATCAGTGCAATCCAGGCAGACAAGTACACTTCTTCTCTTTGATTTGAATAACCTCAAATCAGTAAGTTCCTTTTTTGGTAAACAAGAAACAGAATGTACAACTTAAGCTTAAGGGAACCTATTTGAAAAAGATTTTGTTATTCAATCTTATTTCTTTTGCATAAAACTTTTAAAAATTAATTTTCTTTTCTATTAGTACACATATTCATTTAGTCTTCACATTTGAATAAAAGATAATTTTTTTTTCTGTACATGACATTTTTTAGTAATTGTCTCTTTGTTTGCCTGTAGTGAAAGACAAAGCTACACAATGGGCTATCTCTGCTCTGCCCACGGCAGGTATCGAAACCCGGATTCTAGCATTGTAAGTCCACAAATGACATTAATTTTCATTGATCAACCTCAAATTGTTAACCCCTTTTTTTTTATCAATCAATTAAATATTAAAACAAGTTAAATTCATGGCTAGAACAATCTTAAGTCTCTGTCTTCAGAAAAATATTGATAATTGCACTTATGTTTGTGGTAATTTGAGCCAAGCCCACCAACAACAATTGTGGGATCCATAGCAGAACAATTAATGGAGACTACTGACTGTTATGGCACTTACGATTAATAAAAGCAGAAAACGTATAATTATTTTTTGTGCAAATTTTAATTTCAAATAAAAAATGTATCTTCTATTTTTCTAATCCTTTACTTCAATTGGTAGGGTACTCGTTGGTGCGAGAGATCTCAGGTTTGAATCCGACCTGAGAAAATTAAATCTATCACATTCTTGTTTAGAAAAACAAAAAAAGGAAGAGAAAGATCTAGTTGTATTAAAGAAAAGAAAAAAAAAAAAAACAAGTAAAGTCAGATGTTCCAGGCTAGACAACCAATGAAATATGAAGCCTTGAAAATGTGTCAAAATCACAAAAAATTTATCTTTCTGCTCCTGGTGTACGATGTCCTGCCATTTCTTGGAAGCTTCATTTCTTTACATGTTACTATCATACACCAGACTACAGAATAAAGAGAGAGATAAACCTAACAGAGAACACAATACTGGTCTCAGTATAACAGCAGACTGCCATAACCCATACAACATGTGTGCGTGCTCACAGACAGCAAGCGAAATCTGATCACAGTATACAAGAACCCAAATGTAGGTGTTACCCCCACCTCTCCTTCTGGCATGATTTTGGTTTGTTTGTTCTCAAATCTCACGTAGATCTACTGAAGAGTTGTTTTAGGTATTTGTGTTGGTTGTCCTTAAGTTTGAAGCCACAGACTAAGAGGAAAGGCATCTAGTCAACATTACCCACCACCAATTTTTGGGCTACTCTAATATATTAGTGGGAATGAATGAACTTGCCAGTAGATTTGGTTTTAAATCTCACGAGCCACGAAGGGGCTTGAGAGACAACCAGGGGCACTCAGAAACTGTAGTTCTTCTTCAGCCTCAACTCTCAAACTTGAGAGTTAATCCTAAATGGGAAACAATCTTTATTACTCACAGTGTGAGCAGATGTCTCATATAACCCAGTCACTTTTACTGATACAAACTATTTTCTCTCCAGACTTGACTAAATCTCAAGTTATTTAGCTAAATCTGTAATTAATGTTGCCAACGTGACTACTTATTTTGTGTTCTTGAATGCATATTTGAAATAAATAGAAATTATTTAATGTACTAGTATCGTCATTACAAAAAAGTAGGCTTACGTTTCATAGCATTAGCAAAGATAGACAGCCTTCCCTGTAGCTTTGCGCAAAAGCCAGCAAAACAAATGAATCTAACACGACAATACACAGGACAATACGCAGCCTTGTTTATCAGACTTTGTAATTGAGAGCAGTGAATTCCGATTGTCAAAAGATAACAGATTATATTATTAGTTTTTAAACATAAACGTTTTTATTCTAACACTTGTTAGCGACGTAGGAGGGTAGTGTATATGAGTAGACACGTGTAGGTCTCCCACGGTCAGTTGTTTTGTTGCAGTTTGACATGAACAATCATTCAGAAATTTATTATTTGATTAATTTAAATGTGTTGAGTGTGTTTGTTTGTGTTGAGATTAACATCACCAGAAATAAATTACTGTAAAATGATATTTAAAATCAAATTTCCTTGTAATAATACTTTCTTAAGAATGCCATTATAATTGTATCAAGTTCACATCTTTAATTTTTATTGAGTTATAAGAGTGATAGTCAAATCCCACTTATATGGTTTTTAGTGCTGTATACCCACTGTCTAATTTTGAAGTGATAGACTTATGGGAAGGCAGCTGGTCACCTCCACCCACCTATACTTCTTGGGCTATTCCTGCCAGAGCGAACAGTGGGATTTCACTATTATTCTTTAAATGCAGAGATTCTCAAACTGTGGTATGCGTACCACTGGTGGTGCGTGGAGCTAATGTCGATAATACACGACACAATTAATTCATAACATTTACAAGCCCTATCTGAGCTTTCCACGTACATATGCACACATACTACTCTCCTCACTTATAGACTCACTCTCTGCCTGCATATACTCATCCTTAAGATTGACAAAACTCATACCACATATTCTTCAATCGTGCCAGAAAAAACAATCGCATTCTTCGCATTAATGGGTAAGTGTTTTAAAATACGAATTTTTATTCTTTTTTTTTAATTATGCCTGGGTTTGTAATTTAAAAAAACTTAAACAAAAATTGGTACGCGAGCCTGAAACGTTCGAGAACCACTGTTTTAACGCACACATCAACACTTCTTGGGCTACTTTTGTCATTTTTGTTTTGCACGGAACCTTAGCTCCACACCCGGTCACACTAA